TGGTGAGTGCTGGGGCAGGATGCCAGGCCTGGAGGCAAGGTGCTGGTGGGGACTGGGGCAGAATACTCATGGGGGTCTGGCCTGGGGGAGGGGACAGGGACAGCTCAGCCACTACCTGGGGATCCCGCAGCTGCATGCCAGGTCAGGGTCTCAGGAAGCACATGAGCTGCTCTTCTCCTCCCCCGAGCAGCTGTGTCTGTCGCTCCGCTGGGGACTTCCTTTCCCCTGCTGTCTTCCTGCATGGGAGGGAGACAGGAGTAGTAGTAGTCCTGGGACCACGCCAGTTCAAACGTCTCAGGAAGCGCACAGCTGTTGTGGAGAGCGGAGGAAAAACGTGCATACTTCCTGAGAAGTTTGAGCTGGTATGATCCCAGGATTCTTTCCCTCTGTACCCTCCATCCCCTGCCTGCACACTGCATTGCAAGGCAGCAGAGGAAAGGAAGTTCCTGGTGGCACGTCAGACTTGGCTGTTTGTGGGAAGAGAAGAGCAGATTGCATTTTTCTTTAGAGGCTTCCCCCCCCCCCCCCCCCCCCACACTGCAGGAAGCCAGTGCTGCCTCCATTTTTGCAGGAGGTAGCATTAGTGCGGGTTCCTTCTTGGGAATGCGGGGGCAGGCCCGGAATGCCTTGAGATCAACTGGTTATGCCCCTGTAGTCAACCAGTCGATCATTACTGATGGGTTGGTGACCACAAACTTACATGGTCCGCAATGAGTGTACATAACATAAAGGAACCCCACAGTGGTAAGTTCACCATAAAGGGCACCAAAGGAAACCCAAGGTGTGGTGGGGTAGGTGAAAGGGCTGGGAAAACCCTTGCTGTGTTGGCATGGGTGGAGGTATCCTTTGTGTAGTTGGGCAAGAGAACCCCTTGTTGTAGAATCCCTTGCTTCAGTTGGGTATGATGCCAAGGAACAGGGGAATTCATTTGCAAATGGCTGTGCTGTGTTTTTGGCAGATGTGAATTAGGGAGTGGGCAAAAGATTTTGTAATGATCTCTCATTTCCACAGGCTGTGGTCACCTTGGAAGACATTTCTCTACTTAGGAGGAGCAAAGAAGCAAAGAAGGGTATTTTACTCGATTTCAGTCCTGGACCATATGTAGCTTGTCTTTGCATAGCCATGGTGTCCTATGGCAAGGGAATGTCAGCCTTTAGGGGTCAAGTACCATGTTTGCTTTGTCAGCTAATCTGAGAAGGGTGGCACAGCAGCTGCATGAAGCTTTCAATGAGGTCTGCAATGCAGATTACCGAGACATTAGTCATTGCATCAACTGTTGGTCATTTGACTGACTCTCTGCTTGTAGCAGCATTACCCAGAACTCAGCCTCCTTTCTGTAATCCTTCCATGCCCAGCAAGTAGCTTGAATGCTTCCCAAGCCACTTACCAACCACATCATCCGTAGCCTTTGAGAGCTGGAAGTAGCTCGCTCCTTCAGGGGTACAAAACAACTTTTGACTGCAAGCCTGTATGGATGCCAAGTCTTCCTCTGGCTCTCTGTCCCACTGAGCACACTTGGCCACAGCTTCCTCCTCCTATCTCCATCCACTGCTGGATGCCACCAGAGCTCTGAGATATCTACAGGGGAGTGGAGATGGGGAGACTTCCAAGTGTATCATCCAGCTCTTTGTAGAACCTGCAGTACCTGCGCAGTGGTTGGCTTTCTGTGCCTTGTGGTAGGCATTTTGCAGCTCCTTCAATTTGACCCTGTGCCGCAGTACATCCCGGTCATAGTCCCTTTCGGTTATGCACTTAGAGATGTGTTCATAGTTATCATAATTCGTATGGCTGGAGCTCAGGTGGGACTAGAGTGACTCCACTCCCCAAACACACATGAAGTCTAGCATGTCTACATGACCCCTAAACCAAAGATCTGGTGCATGAAGCAGGCATGGCTAGCTGGTGAGATGCACTACGAACACACCATGCATCACCGAGCAAACAGGAAGCTGACTTTCACATTTCAAAAAGAATGCAAGAGTAGGCCTTGGTGACCTGGTTGGTCTCCTGAGAGCAGTCATTGTAGAGTTCAAATAGAGGAGCAGAGAGGCTGAAACAGGAATTGTGAGAAAGATGCCAAAGGCCAGTCAAGATGCAGTACTACACCACGGTGTCCACACTGACGCCTGAGTGCACTACACAGCACAGCAAGCTCTGTGTTTCTCATGGAGGTAGTTTACCTTGAGTGCACTCACTGCAGAGTTTCCAGTGTCTGTGCCTTTCCAGTGTCGACACCTCAAGAGTTACAGGCGTGGGTTCTTATTTACTGAACTGTAATTTGCCTCAGTGAGTGTTGTGCTTAAAGAACTGCATAGGATCTCTTTCAGGGGGATAAGGCAAAACACCCTAGTTTTTGGTAATACATATTTCAATCAGCACTGTATCATATGCATATGGTATATTACACTCATGCACATGCACACACACAAGCACACTCTGTCTTGTTACCAACTAGTTGCTCCCTCTAACTTCACAGTCCAGGTAGGTGAGTTAGATGGGTGAGGGGAGGAGCTTGGCTTCTGTTGATCTGGACCGATGCTACGATGTTGACGAGATAAGACCCGGGGTTCCCTGCAAGACACCTTACATTTATAGCAGCTTCCCTCTCATACAAATCTATTCACTTTAGCTGTATCAGTTAGTCAACTTATGCAAATCTATGCACTCTAGCAGTAAGTCATTTGTGGCACCTTCTTCTGGGTGTTGTCCTCAATGCTGCCACATTCATCTTCAAAGAGAGTTTTTGAATTTGCTTCAAAAGAAGGTGCTTGATTTTGGCTCCCAAGGCCATCAATATGTCTGATCTTTTCTGAGTGAGGTCACTTGTCAGGTTTTGGTGCCTGTGGGCTTGACTCCTATTCCTCTCTCCAACTGTGGCAGCTTTTCAAAAGTGCTTGCCTTCCATACCTCATTGATTCACACCTCATTGATTCAAAAGGGCCACATTAAAGTCAAAGGGGAGAGGACTATTCTACTCCTAGTAAAAGACATTTTCTTTGCCTTAATTATTCTTAGGGACTATGACATTATATAAAGAGTTAATACAAAGTTTCAATGTTATGAAAAGACTTAATACAAAGTTATAAGTTACACGAAAAGACTTAATACAGAGGTTTATCTACATAAGCATATGGAGTTCAGTAAGTTGTTAGCATGTATTAACCAGTCATGTATCTGGAGGAGGAAGCCATCTTTCTTGGAGATCAGGAAGACTTTTTTTGGGGTTGCTAATTGCTTTTTGGAAAAGTTTTGTCACCTCTGGTAAAAAAAAAAATAAAAAATTACAAAATGAATAATAACATTTAAAAATTGGAAGAAGTTATAATTTCCTGTCCTAGAATGCTAATGGTTTTATCCTATATGATACCGTTCCTTCTACTTTTAAATCTTTATTTAAATGATATGAAAGTGAGTAATCAATACTTTTGGTTAATAACTTTTTCTGTCTGCAGATTCCTCTGTTTGGATCAAAATCTTTTGGAGGAAGAAGCCCTGACGGCCCCATGTTGAGCAAGGCTGAGTTTGTTGAGAAAGTTCGTCAGAGTAACCAGGCCTGTCATGATGGCGATTTTCATACAGCTATTATGCTGTACAATGAAGCTCTGGAAGTTGACCCTCAGAATTGTATCCTGTACAGTAACCGATCTGCAGCATACATGAAAATCAAGCAGTACGACAAGGCACTAGATGATGCAATCAAAGCACGACTCCTAAATCCTAAGTGGCCAAAGGTAGGAAAGCCAGTTTCCCCTTTGGTGAGAGACTCTTTCTGGGGGAGTTTCAGCTATTTTAAAAGTACTAAGGCTTTAATTATTTTGTTGTAATGCAGTTAGACATAAATCATTTTGTGCTTATGGTTCACTTTTCTGGAGCTCTGGAGAATAGAAATCCTTCTGTGTTAAAAACTGCTTGACTTCTCTGAGTTTCCTGTTGAGAGTAAAACTATTTTTTGTGTAAACAGACATTTGCCCATTATTCCTAAATTGCCTGGCAGGGATTCCTATTTATTGATCTTGTAAATATTTTGGATTCAGCCTTTTAAACAAATGTCATTCACAGCGTGTGAAGATCAGACATGTCTCTTAACATTTACAGTAATAAATATTCAGCAGCAGCAAGGAATATCTCACTCTGACAGCTTCAGGAGAGCAGTCTGCAGGATGAACCATGCTGAAGTGTCTGTTGTTGGTAATGGGGCATTACAGTAGAAAACTAAGGACTTTAGCTTAGATCACTATCTCCTGTTTTTCTTGAAATTTAGTTTTTCTAGAGCTGTCCTATTCTTTGGTATCTTTTCTTGATGATTTTTGAAGAAATTCCATATGGCCCAAAATCTCTCCGAGAGATTGCACTGCTTTTATTTAACAGTGTTGCTTGGACTGCAGGTTTCTGTTGTTTTTCATTGAGACACACCATTACGTTCTATTTTTCATATATTACTCATGTGTTGATTTTCTTGAACCTCACTCTTCATATTCCTTCTGTTTTCACCATGTGTGGTGTGATATTGTGATTGCTTTTCTTCATATTCAGGTCCAGGGAGAGATTGCACTGCTTTTATTTAACAGTGTTGCTTGGACTGCAGGTTTCTGTTGTTTTTCATTGAGACACACCATTACGTTCTATTTTTCATATATTACTCATGTGTTGATTTTCTTGAACCTCACTCTTCATATTCCTTCTGTTTTCACCATGTGTGGTGTGATATTGTGATTGCTTTTCTTCATATTCAGGTCCAGGGTTGGCTTTGAGTTGGGTTTTCAGTCTCCAAGGAGATTTGGGGCAGACACAGACTTGTCACTGGCTGAGTGCCAAGCTGTACTAAGTGGCTGGTTCTGCTTTTACAGATGCTGCTGTCCCTGTTGTCTTTGAAGCACTTAATTACAGTGCTTTTTATTTAAGAATATCCTTTCTGAATTTGGTGATTTCTTTTATTGGATTACCTTTCTTCAGTTAAGCCTGTCCATGTGATGGTACAGAACTGAGTTCTCTGAATCTTTGCAGGAGCTGATCTCCACGCTCCAAGCTCAATTTGAAATAAACATGATATATACCAAAGGAAGGGGAAGCAAAACTCCTCTTCAGACTCCCACTGAAGAGAACTCTGCCTTTTCTCACTCTTGCAGGGATCAGAGTTTAAACCAGGTGGAAAGTGCAGTGTTGTTTTAGAGATAATGATGGGCCTTGTGCAGATGGTCCTGGATTAGTGCCGTGAAGCTCCAGCTGTTTCTAAAACCCTTTATATATCCTACTACTAACTGATGCACTCATTTGCTTGTCCTAGATCCTGAGGAACAGCAGGAGTGCAATTTGTAGGTGACTTCGGGGATGGGAGAACTAGGCTGAGCAGGTCAGTTCTCACAGATACAGCCTGCAGTAGTAAAGTCATTCATGCATCAGTCTTCAGTCAGTGTGCACACTTTAGTATTATTTAATGGGGTGGGTTAATCTGTGAGTCTTGTGTGGCTCCTGCTCGTCATCTGCTTCCCACAAATGTGAATGGATCCCAGCCATTGATAATTAAAGGCTTATGTCTAAGACAAGATATCCTTGTTCTCTGCCTTGGGCAACTCAAATGGATCTCTAATTTTGGGCATTAATTCACAACATTTCCTATTGTTGGGAAAATGCCCAAAGCTGGGCCAGTGCACTTCCTCCCCATAGAGTAAAATTTTCTAGCATAGACAGGCCAAGACGCCGGCTTGATATAGTGGAGATATTCTACTAAGATCTGTCCATGCATGGTACCAAGAGGAGAGAACACTTTCAGTAGTTCTGATGATGTATCATTCTAGATCATTTTCTCCTCTGCCTCTTCCTCTGTTGTTTTTATTGAAGCTTTAATGTATTCACCATTTTATTGATAACACTGTGTTCTATAATTCATACTAAGTACCACATCCTGCGTTAGCGAGGAGAATTTTAATTTGATAGGGAGATGGACTAGAAATTCATAGGTCTCTTCTGTCACTGACTTTTATCTTCTCTTAATGATTACTCTAAAACATTTTGGATAGTTTTCGGTGCTATGTAAAATAAAGTTGTGTTGTATTTCCATTTTCAGTTTCCAGTTCATTCTGTTGTATGAGTGCAAAGAGGCCTGGAGTATAAAAAGCCAATACATTTTTGGATAGTATTGTTTTTTATTACTGAGAAATCTGGTAATGATTTACAATGAAGCCCACTGAAATGGATAGTTATGGAAAGACATAATGAAAGTAAGTTTTTCATGTGCTGCATTTCATGTGCAGCATTTCTTCTACCTTTCTCTCAATCACCTGGTGCTGGCCTCTCTTGGATAGTGTGTGGAATTAATGGATAATGGATCTGATCCAGTATGACAATTGTTTTTTAATTTTTAAAATTATTTTTTATTTTACAAAAGTTCATAACTGTCAGGGTAGTTAAACACTGGAATAAATTGCCCAGGGAGGTTGTGGAATCCCCATCTCTGGAGGTATTTAAGAGTAGGTTAGATAAATGTCTATCAGGGATGGTCTACACAGTTTTTGGTTCTTCCGTGGAGGCCGGGGACTGGACTCGATGACCTCTCGAGATCCCTTCCAGTCCTAGTATTCTGTGATTCTATGATTCTGTATGCAAGGAATTAAGATTTTCAATGTTCACTTGATACACTGTGTGTTGGGTAACAGAATATGAAATAAACACACTTAACAATGCAGTAGTATTTGCTGAACTGACAACTCAATCAATAAAGTAAACCTTTTGGCTATTTAAGCCATGATTATTCTGGATGGAGGTCTAATTAAAATGTCTCAGCAAAGAAATTTCCTTGGCTTTTTTTGCTACTAATATTGTAATTGAGAGAATGAAATTCCTCAGCTGATATTTTTCACCCTCTGCATTTTATTTTGCTCTTGGCCATGTGTTTTTTTTCTCTCTCTCCTATACAGGAATCCTTCTTTGCTCTAAATTGTTGGCCCAGTAGAAATTGTTTCAAGTTAGATTGGCGTTGGAAATTTTTGCGTTGTGCCAAACTGTTTTGTGCATATTTGGCTGCTGGACAATGGCAGTTTTGGTTGGTGGCGTCTGAAACTAATGTGATGTCCTAGAACAGTCTAGATATCTTTCTTTGCTGTTTGTGTTTGTTGTAGTTCTTGACACTTTGCCAGTTTGTCTGAGGAGAAGTAGCTACTGTGTATGCTGAATCTGACTCGAAGGCAAACTTCAAGGATAGGTGAAATATCATGTTTTAGCACCACAGTAATCTCTAGATATTTCTGCCTTGCAGTTATTCCTCCATTCTGTATTTGGTTGTTCCTCTGTACATTTCCCCCCTTCAAGTCCTTATTGCTTCTCCATATTTTCCAGTGTATTATGTTTTAATTTGATCATCCAAAACATTTTATTTCTTTGCCCAACTCCTGCCACTCCTGTTTGGCTTGTCAAGTAATAATAACTCTTCCCCTATGTGTTTTGAGGTTGGAGCAAATGTATTAACTGTTCCAGACCATAGTAATATTCACATTTTTTTTTAGCATATAAAAAGAAACAAACTCTGATTTTAAACTATTTTTTATCTAGAAGCTTATCCAAAGTTTTGCTCTTTCTTCCTTACAAAGTTTCTATACTTCTCCTGAATAGAACTTTCCATCAAAATTAATGATTATCATTATACACATCTGAGAGAGACGGGCATCACAGTGACAAGTTGGGGCTATTCATTGTTTTTAAATCTGTTATTGATTAAACATGTCCTATTGTTACAAGATGTGCTATTTATAATACAATGTTATCTGGATGTTGCAAAGAAATCGTCCCTTCTTATCTCCACATAGAAGTATTTTTTACCAATATGACTATATATTCAGTTTGTCAAATAAATATTTGACAAAAGTCAAATATATAGACTTATACAAATGGAAATTACAATGTAAAATCTTTACCAAGCCAGTTACTTTGATTTCACATGCAGAAAAAAATCTGTGGACTATTACACTTCTTAAAATCAGTGATTATTAGTTATATTATCTGTGAACTGCCAGTGTCCGGTGGCCCCTTAAAAGTGTGAGTATGTCCGTGTCTAAGCCAAAACAAATATGTTGACTAGGGACATGAAATCCTGTTTAATTAGTTAACCAGTTAAATGTAGTGTTTAACCAGTTAATTGATTAAAGGAGAGATGGGCAGGAGGACCGCTCTAGCCTGCTGAGCTGAAGCACCCCCCCATGTCAGGAGTGGCCCCCTCGCTGCAGGCAGGAGAGCTGCTCCAGCCCAGCTGCTTCTGGCTCCCCACAGGACAGCTGGGAGCTGGCAGCCCCACTCCGGGTTTCAGTGGGGCTAGATCAACCCTCCTCTGGCAGCATGCTGCTCCTGGGTACTAGTTAACTGTAATCCAGTAAGCATCACCTTTTAAAGTTAACCCATTACCTGTTCACATCCCTAATGATGACTAAGTTTTGCTCACTTCTGATACTGTTTATACATTGGAGTGCTAAAGCTAGCTGCTTTCAGTGGACTATCAAGAAAAGCTGCCTTAACCTCATTATTATAGGTAATGGCGTAAGATAAACACTAATTAACACTAGTAATGACTTTACTACTGAGAGTAGGCTGTATACTTAAGTGTATAAGATATGCTGTGCTCTGTGTGTTTCTTGGTTTAGCTGTATTTTGTGAATTTTCTCCCTGGAGTTTCCCTGAAATGATGGGTGAAATCTGCATTGAAGGTCTGTGCAGGGTGTGGGGAAAAGACCCAAAAGCCCACCTTTATGTAGGAGGCACGGAGGAGCCTTTGTGTTTATTTGAAGGCCCCACACACTCATATGTGAGTTATCTTGCTATTCTGTTTTGCTGACAGCAATTCTCTAGGCCTAGGAAGGAGTAGGACTCTACCAGGTCAGTCAAGCTTTGTTCTCTTTGTTTTATTGTCCTTGACTTAAAAATAAATAGAAAGTTTTCTGATAAAAATGCTCCCCAGGAAAGTTAGTCTGAATAATGTCTATCTGTGGTTCCTTGGGAATTGGAGGACTGATAGGCGAAATAGGACTACTTTCTCAACTACTTCTGATTGCTTATAAGGGAAACTAATCCAAAGGAAATTACTTGGAAAGCACAGCAGAGATGAAAAGTCCTGTAGAAAAGACAGCTCTGAGCTGTGGGCTTTTTCAGATTTGGATGGTATATTTTCCTGGTCTCCCAACACACATTTTTTTCTTAAAAAAATACAGTGCACATGAGTACACGCGTGTGTGCGCGCACACACACACCTGAATTTTAGTGGCTAAAATTTTATCAAAGGAAGAGAACAATTGAGGCAATTGTTTGGAGTCTATTTTAAACGGCTCAGAGTTCTGAGAACACCATAAA